ATGAAGTATTTGCTCCTGCTTAGGAATGCCTTGTGATCCCTCGTTGAAGGGTTTTGCTGAGGAGAATCATGTCTGGGCTTATTTGCTGGACCTGTTACCACCGATCAGCAATAATCAAAGGTTAGGAGTACGTCTCACTTTCCATAGAATTATCATGAGCACAATTTAATAAGGACCCTACAAGGGATTTCCTTTCAATTTGGCACAATTGCTTTTTGATTTCTCACTGTAACCTCCTCTACATTTTCTTCTTTAAAAGATCATTTAGTTGTTTCCTGAAGTGTTACTTTTCTTAACATCTGATTTCTTTTTGCCTTTAGCCCACTGAAAATATGATGGCCTGTAGTTGATTTGATTTTGGCCTCAGACGATATGTATTTTCTTCACATAAGAGCAAGAAAATGAGGAAAGCATACATTTTTATTTTTATAATATATTTACTTTGCTCAGTGCAATTAAAGCTTACCCTGGCAGTTTAAACGGACTCAGATGATGGACTGAAAGGCAACTAGTGCTGGTTTAGCTGTAAGAAATGCTGGGAGGAAGATTTAGCATCAGGCTAAAATGATTTAGTCACCAGTCGTGGTGTTTGCAAACACATTTGGAAAGGTGTGTGGTGCTTAGTGTAAACCTATTACATGTTTAAATTGCACTCATGTATAACCGATTATAGCCGGGTGTATCTGAAGCAGCAGTCGGCATCATTAAATGAGCCAGCTACTTATCTGTCAGCCTTCATACTGCTTTGAAGTAACTCCTTCTGGTGGCATTTTTCAGCTGATTTACATCTATGTTGTTTTCATGACATTATTTTACAAGACAAGCAAGCCAGCTTGTTTGTTTTTATTTGCTGGCTTTGCTGGTCTTATACTTTACAGGCCATCATGGCTGGCGGCTAACGAGAAAGCTGCAATTCATGAGAAACAGTTATCAGGTTTTACTAGAAGGTTTTTTATGCCTTTGTTTCTAGCAATACTTTTATTTGTGCAAAATATGGACAGTTGCAACAAAACATCTATTTTTACTCAAAAGACACCAAATGAGCCTGGTTGTGAATGGTAGATCTGTGAACTAGAATGTGAATTTGAATGAAAAAAGGACAAATGGAGCAGTGTTTTGGTGCCAGGTGCATTTGCTTTAGTGCTGCCTATTCTACAAAGAAATGGGAGATGAGATTCGTCTGGAGGGTGGAAGTTTATGAACATCTGGTGTCCAAAAAATGTTATGTCTCTGCCACAAAATTAGATTTAGAAAAATGAACAAAGTTAACATAAAACTGAAGAAAGATTTATTTTCTCGTGCTGAAGAAAATTGAAGACATTATTAAACAAAAGCTTTGAAACCTTCTTTTCCTGGGAAATAACCAAGTTGCTCTATGTTTTCTCCCCTATGCTAAATGTAAAGTAGAAAAGCTAAAAAAAAAAAAAAAAAATATATATATATATATATATATATATATATGAGCACCTACCTAATACTGTATAAGCCCACAAAACAACATGTAAAGATGTGGATCACTCATATTTTGGTGGATCTTTAAATACTCAAATATCACAGTACATCCTTGGTTATCTCTGTGTTAGCAATACACACCTTCAACCCTCCCGATTCATTTATTATTTATATTGATTTAACCCCCCCCCCCCCCCCCCCGGTGTTTTATTTGTGTATTTACTTACATGATCTCAAAGTGGCTTCATTGTTTTATTAGTTACCCACAACTTTGTTTAATGAGCCCAAATATTTATATAATTAATGATGATCAACATTGGAGAGAATGAACATCATGAATTTTTTCCAGCTAAACACACCTTATTGTGGAGGGTGAGTCAGTACGCAGCCACAGCCAGCTTGGCATGGCTATATAGATACGTCTTTATCTGTAAGCATATTTTTCTGTTTAATTATAAACACACTAAACTTTTCTAGTTACCGCTGACAAAATTAGTATTCTTGGCCCCTTTTTCTGGCTCAGCTAAAGAGTTACTTGGAGCTGAAGCAGAATTCTAGTGATATAAAAATACGAAGCCCAAACCTTTGAGTAAGAAGGTTCTGCAGCCTGAGCCTTTGGGGACTAGGTTTGAATAGACAGTAGAGGAGAGGTACACTCAGGGAGTTTACATGCAAAGTTGATCTAGGTGGATCTTAACTTGGAGCCTATATCCTAGCTTACATGTAGAAAACAGATCTCTCAAATGAAGTCTGTTCCCCTTCGGTACAGTAGATGTCAACTTGCGCCCTTTCGTATCGGCATCCTTCTGGTTTGCTTATAGCAACACAGATAGTGACAAATGCTGGCGGGAGTAAAGCAGACAAAGTTAAAACAGGACAGTGGCCGCAGGAATGGACAACAACGCTGCAGCGCAGCTTATTTGGTCTCTACTATACTGTTTGATGGTGTTACACATGTTAAGTTGTGTCAGTGATGATGTCAGAAGACCGCTTCTGCTTTCTTGTCACTTCCAGAATTTGCCGGTATCAGCCTGGCAAAGCTGTTTATATGTAGATGCAGCTGGTTTCCTACGGAAATATCTGGGTGCTTCAGCTGGATTAGAACCAGTTCACCTTCAGCAAGAGTAACATGTTTTACATGCATTAAAAAAAACAATGTTAGTTTATTTAGGGCAATGGTTCACTGTTTGGATGAGCATGGAACAATGTTTTGAATATAATGCTGGGTTTTATAGACCTCACACTCATTGGGTTTTTGAAGTTAGAGAAAATAGAACAGTTGCCTTAGTCCAGCTAAAGTCGGACTTTGGAATGCAAGTATATACCTTAGTCCAACTGTCCATCCATCCATCCATCCATCCATCCATCCATCCATCCATTTTCATCCACTTATCTGGAGTCGGGTTGCGGGGGCAGTAGCCTAAGTCAAGAGGCCAAGACTTCCCTCTCCCCAGCCACTTGGGCTAGCTCTTCCTGGGGAATCCCAAGACATTCCCTGGCCATGTGAGAAACATAGTCCCTCCAACTTGTCCTGGGTCTCCCTTTAGGCCTCCTCCCAATTGGACGTGCCCAAAAAACCTCACCAGGGAGGCATCCAGGAGGCATCCTGACCAGATGCCCGAGCTACCTCAACTGGCTCCTCTCGATGCGGAGGAGCAGCAAATCTGCTCCGAGCCCCTCCCAGATGACTGAGCTTGGGAGAGCCCAGCCACTCTGTGGAGAAAACTCATTTCGGCCACTTGTATCCATGATCATGTTCTCTCGGTCACTACCCAAAGTTCATGGCCGTAGGTGAGGGTAGGAATGTACTGTAGATCGACCGGTAAATCGAGAGCTTCACCTTCTGACTCAGCTCTCTCTCACCACAACAGACCGGTACAACGCCCACATCACTGCAGATGCAGCACCAATTCTTAGTCCAACTGATGTCTTCAAACTGGCTTTTCCCTATCAAGTTAAGGCACCCAGTTAGTAAAACAATTTTATTTTGCTTGTAAACCTCCCAGCTTACCTGAGCTGTGACCAGCATTGACACGACCCCTTCTGGAAATGGCAATATCGCTAACGTTGTCTTTTGATGAACACCATCACCACAAGAGTCTTTATGAATCTAACATGTAACACCATCTAACAGTACAGTACATACCATATACATATACATGTGTCCATTGTGCATATCCAGTTTTTGCTCCATCTGCTTCACTCCTGCCAACATTTGTTTCCTATTTGTGTGACGCTCTAGGTTATGCCAAGATGAAAGGGTGCATGTCTCCAACTATCATCACAGAGATGAACAAACCTCATTCAGTGATTTATTTTTCTAAGTGACATGTAAACTAGGATAGAGGCTCTTATTCCAGTGAAGCTTGATTATTGCCATAGCTCGATTCAGATGCACATGTAATTGTCAGACTGACATTAAGTTATGCCTAAACTACCACTGGCTAAAGGCCAACAGTATGTAAATTGCAATAAAAAGCAGGAACAATAATTTATGAAGTAATGTTATGTGAAGACATGCATAACATTAGGCTGAAAAAGATTTTTTCCTAAGTACATTTTTTTGTTCTGTATTATATCTAAAGAAGAAATGATTTTCACTTTAATCTAATCCATCTGAAGGGATCCATAGAGGTCCGTTCTAGTCCAGAGGGGATCCTAAATGTGTTAAATCTTTTCAGCAAGGCTTCGTGCAAACAGACTCATTCATTCGTTTAGTTCTGCCCACTGATTCATCCACACAATCTGTCTGTCTGCAGCAAGCATAAAAAGAAAGTAATGATCTACAAATTAATTTCAGGAGTCTCTCAAAAGCTTTTTTTTCTCTCTCTCTCTGTTATTAAAACAGTTTCTGGAACAAGAAGAAAAAGGGGAGAAAAGGCTGCTTTCATTTGTGTTAATGCAATACTTTTTTGCTGGTAGCAATTTGTGATTTCTCACAAGGTCTGCAAAGATCACGAGCTGTGTTTATTATGCAGAGGCTTATCCTGCTGTGCCCGAACAAAGGAGGTGTCAGATTTGCATTCTTTCTCCCTGTTTTTGAAGCGAGTCTTGATTATGTCATTTTTATGTCTGCCACACATTTGGCAAAACTGTCCGTGGCATCCAGGAGCCACAGCAGGCAGACTGTTCTACGGTAGCTGTCTCTATTTGCTTTCTCTCAGCAGGTTGTCAACAAGTAATCGGTTTCCATACAAATGATGTTTCAGTCTTTGTTGTTTAATTGTTGCTGGCCTTTGTGCGGTGGATCAAGCACAGAAAAGCGATAACAATATGCCGTTTCAATTAAATTCACTCATGTGTGTCTTATGCTGGAAAAAATTGCTTTCTGCTCCAGTCAGAAGCACTATGGAGTTTACAATAGCATGTCTTCATTAATGTAAATACATCACAAGGATTTCAGGACAAGCTTGCTGAAGTTTTGAATTATATTTCATTCTTAGCTTTTGTTTAATGGTTTCCTTTTACGGCTTGTGTGTGCCCTTGGCTTCTCTGAAAGACTGAATGATTATTTTTGATTCATAGCTTTTTTGTGTGATGCCCTACAGACTTGGAAAATTTCAAGACCCAAAGACGAAGTCCGGTGAGGGTTCGTGAGGGTCAAGGTGTGGTCTTACTGTGTGGTCCCCCGCCTTACTCTGGAGGTAAGAGTCTCCATTCTGATGATTTGTTTCATGTGCTTATAATCTTTCTGTTGCGAAGTAACTAAAGAGAATGCTGGTTTTTCACATAAATGTCAACATCGTGTGGTAATCGTTGACTCTTAATCTAGAGACCAAGTTGTGCTTTCCTATTAAAAACTCTTGGCTTGTTTGTGTGTATTGTTAAAGTTAGTGGAGTGAGTCATTTTACTGTGGAACGCTCTGGCCTGTCAGCCTGATTTTCTGTGGGAGTGAGGAAAATTCTTTGGCATGCAGACGGGCAACAATGTGTTTGGCTGGAGACCTGCCAAGCTGAGTTACAGAAGTTTTCCCTAAAGGTGTATTGTTTCCTTCCTCTTATCTCTTGGCATCCGTGACGTTATCTATGGAAGCTAGCGCCCAGTATTAACACCTACACTTGGGTTTAAAAAGATGGGCTTTTGCCAGCAAGGCTGAAGGTCGTTATCTATTATTATTCTAAGAGGGATGAAACTGTATGAAAAATTTGTATCATGATTCCTGTGAAGAAATTCATCATAGATAACGATATTATCACAGTGCTGAAAATGTGGAAAAAGGGACTCGAGCATGCTGAAATGATTGCACCAGCAGTAGCGGCAGCTGTAACATTCGTTTTTTTTTTCACCTGTCACATATTTAATCCCTCATTTTGTTAGAAAACTTTCACAAGCAGTTCAGCACCTGCTGTATGATAAACAAATACAAAATGTAATGAGCTGATGATAGTCATTGGGATAAAAGCATGATGTGATTTTCTTGTGTTTTTATCACCACTGGTTGGTGGAAAAAGAAGGGTGGTTGAACATAATGATAGGGGTGTGCAATATGGAATAAAAACAGAATGTTTTTATTGACAAAATAGACACAATTAAACTAACTCATGTAGCAAATTGTTATCTAAGGAGGGGTAACAACAAAAACAAAGTTACAAAAACCCCTCTACTTCATTTAAAACTCGAGTTAGCACTTATACTACACTCCTCTGAGCTGGTTTAAAGTGGCCGGGTTTGAAAGGTGCAGGCTTTTGTAGCCTGCCACACGCGAGGCAGCCTGTAGCTGATCTCATTCAGCTGCACTAACTGCTGCAGGAAGGGAGGAGGGAAGAGAGGCTTTGTGGTGTGCCACCGTCCAAGGTGCTGAAATGAGGGGAGTTGGAGAGGGTGCTGTCTGTGTTGCTGAAGTTGTAGTAGTACCAATTTCCAGTCCTCACCTCGGTCGGACAGGTGGCAGTGTAGCCATTTTATTAAATGACTTAATGACCTTCAAATAAAATGCATATTTTTTCCTTTTTTTTTGTAAAGGTAGGTTTTCTGCCCAGAAGTGTTGTTGCATCTACTTACTGTAGGGACAACAAATACTTTATTCTGCCTTGTTTTAACCAAATGATCTTCAATTTTAGCAGTTCTTTCAAGTATTTAAGCCCTCAAACTCACAATAGTAAAATTAAATTGTAAACAAGCAAGAAATACGTAGCACTGGTAAAAACATTGTAGGGTACTACATTACCTGTAGCATAACAAGCTAATACAGATGGCCTGTTGGATCACATTGAATTTCTTTTCTCATATTGTGCTGATGGAGATTCTATTAAAAATTATCCCCTTTAACATCGTAATAAAATGCTAAATTGAGTCAAGCTACAGATTTTGTTTCTCTGGAGGTTTTAAAACCTGCACTTCTTTCTCACTTCCATCTCTTTGCAACTGGGGCACAGCTTCTGAATGATCTTTAGCTTACTGCAACTTCTAAATAGTCGCCAAACATACAGTACAGGCCAAAAGTTTGGACACACCTTATCCTTCAATGGATTTTCATGACCATTTACATTGGTAGATTCTCACGGAAGACATCAAAACTATGAATGAACACATGTGGAGTTATGTACCAAAAAAGGTGAAATACCTGAAAACATGTTTTATATTCTATCTTCTTCTAAATAGCCACCCTTTGCTCTGATTACTGCTTTGCACACTCTTGGCATTCTCTTGATGAGCTTCAAGAGGTAGTCAGCTGAAAATTTTCCCAACAGTCTTAAAGGAGTTCCCAGAGGTGTTTAGCACTTGTTTGCCCCTTTGTAAATGGTCATGGTCATGAAAATAAAATAAAAAAACACATTGAATGAGAAAGTGTGTCCAAACCTTTGGCCTGTACTGTATATTTAAAATGTTGTTATACTAATCCAACTTTTTAGAATATTTGAACAGTTGTTTAAAGTTGCTGTAATTAGAAATTAGTTGTTATTCATCTCTGTGATTCAAAAGAAAATAAATAATTCATTTCAATGAGGATTTGTGTTACGCTGCGAGCGCAGGAGGATTGGACCCAAAATGCAGAACACCACAACTCGAGGCAGGAGAGGTCGTTTAAATAAAAAATACTTTTATTAGGATGAGAACTGAAAAAACAAAGACTATAGGACACGAGGTCAATAAAGTTCTGTAGAAAAAACAAAAGCTCTCACATGAGCCGGGATCTGTAGTAACTAGAGGGGGACAAAAACAACGCTGACAAAAAGACAATGGACCGACAAACAGGGCTTTTAAACACAGAGGGAGGTAATCAGGGGGAACAGGTGACAGGTGTGAGGAGTGAGATCTGGAGGGAAGACAGGTGCCATCAATAACCTAAATGGGGGAAAGAACTAAGCAGGAGGGAAGATAAACATTAACCTATAAAACACTGAATAACTAAACCTAAAGACTAAGGGCAAATATAAACAACTAATAACTAGAGGAGGACTAATACAAAATCAAATAGGAACTACCAGGGGGTGACTACGGGGAAAACATGAGGGAAGCCTAGAGAGAGCTGGGGATCATAATGAGACACAAGGGGAGAACCTGAAGTGAGAACAGGAGGGGGCTGGGGACCAGAAAAGGACACAGAACATGACAATTTGAAGCTAATTGTACAATAGAAATGCCATTAATGAACAATACTAATGATATCCTTATGGCTTCTGAGAGCTGACTTAGGTCTATACATGTCTAGTTAGATCTCAATACTGTTTTTATTTTTCTATAATCAATTACAACACTATTACAGTACCAAATTGGAATATAAATTAATTAGATTAAATTCAATTGGACTGAACTGCATTAGATTGCATATGATTGGATTTGTATTGAATTTGTGTGCTTTACTGTTAATCACCATTAAAAACTTTCTATAATGTGTAAAACGCAGAGAAGTATAATTCAGATGTTTTTGGCACCTTTCTATCTGTATCAAATTTCTTTATTCTGCAATAGGAGCTTGCATCTGTAATTCTGTAAATGGTTAAAAAGTAGCAATGCAGTAGTCTTAACATAAATAGTCCATGTGATCGAACTAGATTTTCTTTGTCTTGTAGATTTGCTTTTTTTTTTTTTTAAGGCAGAGCCACAGAGAAGCTTCATGAGCCATTTACATTTTTGTTGCTCCCTGTTTGACATTTTTTCCTACTTTGGATTCCAGTTTCTTCATGCTGTTTGATTCAGAAACCCTGCATCAGCTTGTTGGCCTCATTGCAGAGAGGGAATGTCTCTGCAAGGTTTGCCATTTTAATCAAAAACACATCGGTTAGCTGTTTGCGAAACACTGCTGATGCACTTTTTTTGCTATTTTTTTATTTAAATATGCAAGTCATCAAAACACACAAAAAAACCACCTGTCAAATGTCACTCTGCATGCAACCACAGTAATCTTCACCCATTCTGAGACTTTGTACATGTGGAAACTTAATTTTGACAACCTTTATGCAGTGAAACTTGCACTCTCTTAGATTTGGCTTTGATAGTAGTATTTAGCCCCCCTGCTGTGGCGTGTATTTGTGCCAAAACATATTCCAGTCAGCAAACAACAAAACAGCTGCATTGTCAGGGGGTGTGGGGCTTTTGTGCAGTTTCAATTTCATCACAAAGATGTTCAAAATGGACCATAAAAAAATCAGAACTCTGTAAATTAAAACCCACAAGTTCCTTTATTATTTACAAGAAAGGTCATTTAGTTCTTATAGGGGAACTTTGCAGTTCTTACTTACTTTCAGCACCCCCCAGTGTCTGTTTTAATTCTTTGTCATGAAACAAAAATGAAACTATCCTCCTTGCTGTGCTCTTGTGTTTTTACCACGTTCATCTAACTGCTGAAATGTCTCCTCAGCCCTCATTACTTTCTACAGGAGAGGTTCATCACTTAATCAAACACATCAGCTCATGATCTAAAACATGTAGGAATCATGTCTCTGAGTTCTATCGATTCAGAAAACTCCCAATGTTTACTATTGTCTGGGAAGCACTTTGTGACTTCTGTCTGTGAAAAGTGCTACATAAATAAACGTCTTCTCCTTCATTTGTTGTTTGACTGTTATTGTGATCAAACATTCTTTTTATTTTTTTTAGCTTCACCAGATAAATGTTTTCTTTGTTTCTTCTGAGGCTCAACCATGTAAAACAAGTTACAATAAATGTAAATGAGGGACGGTTAATCTTATCTGATGCAAACATGGATTGCCATAAAGCGTGGTTTTGTGAGAGTTCAGAGAAGCGGTCCAGAGAGGCCGAAGTTCCGAATGTGTTCTCCTGCTCACAAGAAGCGGAGGGGGCTGGGAGACTTTTCATTCACCCTATAAATGTTCATTTTAGCACATATTGGCTGAAGAAAATTATTTTAAAAATATGAAAAAGTGACTTAGCATTCTTTAACTGCAGCTTATTCAGAATGATGTTTCTAGAGTCATAACAAGAACCGAGCACATCACTCCTGTTCTTAAATCTCTACACTGGTTACCAGTACACCACAAAATCTATTTCAAAGTGCTTCTACTAGTTTATAAATCACTCAACAGTATTGGGCCAAAATTCATGGTGGATCTCCTTCCGATATATGTGCCCAGCGTATAGATCGTAAAGATCTGAGATCCTAAGGAAGCGGTCAACGGGTAGAACCCCGGGTCAAATCCAAACAGGGTGAAGCTGCTTTTAGCTACTATGCTGCACACAAAA